AGAGGGAGAAAAGGAGGGAGGGAGGAAAAAAGAATGAGGAAAGGAAGATGTACACTTAGACCTAGGAAGAAAGAACAATGGTGGTAAATAATGCCACAGGACCCAAAGCATCAAGTTCTCCTTCTCTACTCTAGCTTGGCTGAAACAGACTGGGAACTCTGGTGATCCTTAAGGAGAGGAAAAAGAAGGCAAATTGGCTTGGGGATTCCATGTCCCTAAGGGTCTAATAGGACCCAGGTCGTGATACTGGGTATAAAAAATGGGAAGACCTTCCAAAATCTCCCCACCTTTGTGATCCTTGAGGCTGCGAGTCTCCAGGGCACCAGTAGATCCTGTTTCTGACTCAACATCATCCACAGATGGCCTCTCAGAAATGTCTGAACGTGTTGTCTCATCTGCTTCCTGGACACTTGTGGGACTGGAGAGGGCATCTAGGGGTCCTGGGGACACGGCTGGTGGATCTGAGGGAGGTGAAGAGGGACCTCCGCTGCTCCCTGCATCATCCTGCATTGAGGCTTCCAGAGATGCTGCATAACCCAGAGACAGTGCCAACTCGTCCTGAGCAATGGGCACCTGGCAAGAGGGATAGTTTTAATGGGCAGGAGTGACCCATTAGGGCTTTCTCCCTCTCCTCCCGGCTCCTTTCCTTTGAATCCTGTTACCTTGGAAACACCAGAGATGATCAGAGTGCTACGTTTGGTGGGTGTCTTCTTGGCTGCCCGCCCACTGGGCTCAGTCAGCTGGCGAATCGCTGTCTCTGCTACAGGGTCCAAGCCGTTGGAAAGGTGGCTCTCCCCTGCTGGAGGTACAGAGAGTAGACAACTTGACTCCTCCCCAGTTTCTTCTTCGACCTGAACTCCTGTGCCCTACCCAAAGTGGTTTTTGACTCTGGAGCCCTAGTGCCAACCAACACTCACACTTCCCATTTCCCTACTCACGGCTGCTGCTGTGGGAGGTACTGCTGGGACCACTGCTCTCACTCAGCACAGTTGTTGTCTTCTCAGTCACCTCCACCTTGGACGGGGAGCGGGAGGGGGAGTCTGGTGGGTGGGGGAGGGTCAGTGAGCTGGGAGGTGCTTTAGAGTACCTCCTCACCCCTATCTTTGTTGAGATGCAGACTTTAGTGACTCAGAGGGCAGGGGTGACTAAGAGATTATTAATCCCAGGGGTGATTAAGAAGATGCCATGTGGACAAAAAGACACCACAGAAACCAATGGGAATGTGAGAAAGTGCCATGGGGCCTACTGAGGGTCTGGGGAGAAACCATAAAAATATTGAGAGGTGTAGAGATGGCACAGGGGTCCACTGAAGGTAGGGAGAATTCTGTGGGACCCCTAGAGATAGAAGAAATGTCATGAAGGGTTTCTGGGAGTGGGAGGAATACCAGAGCCCACTGGGTATGTTGGAGGATCCCACCAGGTGCTGGAAGGTTGAGCGTAGAGGCAGGGACAATTAGAAGCTGGGGCTGGGGAAAGGGAGGGGAAACTTGTGAAAAGACAGAAGGAACTTGGGGAGGTAGAAGTGCAAAAGTCCCATATGAGGAGCTGGTGGGTCCAGGATGGGGGAGAGAGGAAAATAGTAGGGGAAATGAGAAAGACGTGGTCGGAAACCAGAGGGAATTGGAACTAGGGCTTTCTTTGCCCTTTCCCTGTCCTTCCATGGATCTGCAATCCAGGGGCCCCTGGCTAGAGCTGGGCTTTCAGGCTCCTCCTCTTTACCTAATTTGCCATCTACACGGGGCCGGGACTGGACAGTGGTGACCGTGGTGACAATGGTGCCATCGGGCATGATGGTCCGGTCCAGCTCAATCTTCTTGGTAGGTGTGATGCTGGGGTGTGGAGTGGAGGGAGTGGGAGTGCCCAGGTTCCGGGGGGAGCCCTCCTCATACTGAAGCTGTCAAGGGGTGGAAGAGCAAAGAGGCTGGGCCTCAAAGACTGCCCTCCCCTGCCTCCTCCCATCTTCCCCCAGGGGTCAGCTTCTCACCTCTACTGCCATGGTGGCTGCTGGTCCCAGGGTTTTCCCTGGACCAGGGGTGAGTGGGCACACCTGTCTTCGGGACAGTGGTCTGGAAGAGGAGCCCACAGGCAGTGTGGCCTGGCCCAGGAATTCAGCTGAGGAAAGGGTAGCACTGTGAGCTGGTCCCATGACCAGGCTCCACTCAGCGCTCACCCAGAGGTGCTCCTTCCTGCCCCATACTCACTGTCTCCACAGCTGCTGCTCCTCAGCACTTTGAGGGCCAGCTCCCGGCTCTGGGGGCCCAGATCTCTGTGGCCAAGAGGAAGAATAGCAGGTAGGGGGAAGGTTAGCAAACAGAATCCACCCTTGAGCTGATCACAGACCAGAAGCAGAGAAATGCACATAAATAAGATGATACAAGTACTCCAAGCAGATTAATTCTTGCTCTCCAAATACTTTCTCTTCCCAAGAGAATGGGACAGGGCTCCAGTGGAGACCATACTCCTCAGCTGGGCATTCAAACTCTCCCTCGTTCTGTCCTACCCTGCTTCCCAAGTCTCTGTGTCAAACTACTCTCTTTCCTTTGTGCAAACTGTTCCCTCTGCCAAAAACACTTTTCTCTCACACTCTGTTAAAATCCTACTCTTACTCTAAGGTGTGGTTTAAATGTCACCTCCTCCATGAAGCCAACTCTGATCTTTATTCCCCTACAAGAATTAATCTCCCTCACCTAAGCATTCTCATGCACTTTTTGTAAGCCTCAGATGGAACACTTATACTATCTTTTTATGTGCATCTATCTCTGCCTCGAGCCTGAAATCAACTCAGGGATTGGGAGTATATCTTGGTCATGTCTGTATCCCCAGGACCCAGGTTGGGATCTAAGGGCTCACAATAAGGGGCTCACACCAAAGTTTACTGAAAATAGAGTTGGTTCAGGCAAGGGCTATGTTGACTGGGGTGATTCTCAGTCTGCCCATGGGAATGAGGGGATGGGGGAGGAGTCACTCCTTACAGTGCCAGATCTTCTGTCCACTCCACCTCGGGACCAGCCCTCATGGGCTTGGTCCACTTCTGTTGCATGGGGTTGTCGAGTTCAGCTACACAGCACAGGTCCCCAGTGCCTATGAGGAAACAGAAATTAGAAGATGCTCAGAGCAAAGATGGGAAGCCATTGAAGAATAGAGAGGCTATACCCTTGGCAGAGGGGCAGGAAGCACCTGCAATTATAGCCTTGACAATCCCCTAGCCACTTCTAGGTCTCACCTTCCAGCTCACTTCCCAGATGTGATGCTTGAAGCTGCCGTAGGAATAACCGGGTAGGTCTGGGGATAACTGGGTGGGCCTGGGGTACCATGGGTGGCTTCTCGCTGGGTACCTAAAACCAGAAAGAGGTAAAAAGAGTGAGAACTCTGATATAGTACCCTGGGGACAGTATGCCTGCAAACTATTTGCTTTGAGTGCCCACTTACCAGACCTCCAGGGGCAGAACAAGCCCTGAGGTTGACCATCATGGCTGGCTGGGTGCTGACTATGGCATCTTCAATCAATTCCTCAATAGTGGAGAGCACTACTTGCTCCTCACCTCTCTGCAGAGAGAAGAAGAGGAAAACAAAAAGGTGGGGCCCCCAGCTCTGGCTTCCCATCCCTGTTCTGCCTCTTTCCCCCTAGCCATACCCCCTTACCTCTCTGGCCTGGAGCTTGGGAACCACTGTCAGGCTGATATCTGGGCGATCACTGAAGGCCCAGGATATGAGCAGCCCCTCACCAGGGATTTCCTCCAGGTTGACTTCCAACTGGGGACAGGGACAAAGGAATTAGGTTAACTTGCCCCACTCCTTGGACTACTTCCATTCCCCAGGACCCTCCCTGCCCAAATTCTATCCAAGAGAGGAACCAAATTGAAAAGGATGAGGCAATTAAACCACCCCCTGCCCAGCTCCGTTTCCTACACCCCACTCTACCTGTGTTGGTGGCAGTGTCAGAGTGACGTGGTAAGTCTCCATGGAGACAGCAGCGGGGGACTGCTGGGTCACAGAAACTGGGAACATCACCTCCTCAGCAGAGAGCTGGCAATGCAGCACCTGAGACAAAAGAGGAATGGAGAAAGGATGCCTCATCCTGCTATGCCCTGCCTCATAATGGGTCAGCAGACCCCTCCCCACTTCAGTTTTCCTTGAGACTTCACCTTTTTGGGGTCACAAGCCTATAAAAAATCAGATAAAAGCCAAAGACTTCTCTCTCCAGAAAAATGCAAATATAAAAAGATGTACTATATTTTGCATGTAACTTCAGTGGGATTCTCAGACCTCCTGAAGCCAATCCTTGGATCCCTAAGACATTCATAGACTTCAAGTTAAGAACCCTTGGAATAAAGGGAACTCTTGGGATCAGCCCCACTCTCAGACCCTAAAGAAGTCAGTGCCCAGCAGATCCTTACCATGGCACGCTCTGATTGGTCTATGCAGGTCACATGACTAATGCTGGCTCTGGGTGGGAGTTGGGGTACCTCCTCAAAGGCGATTTGGATGGAGCTCTGCGGGAGTAATGTAGACAGACGGTCAGGTCTCTGGAGATGCCTCCAGCAGAGCTAGCCTGCTCAATTGCTGATTGGGCCCTGGCACTGCCCAAGACTCAACTGCAGGCTGGCTTCTGGCCCCTTGTTAGCTAAGGGTTATACGACAGGAAGTGTTTTTCTCAGACCCACCTCTCCGGGGCTTGCAGCTGCTAGGGAGAACCTCAGAGACCAGATCACCTTGAGCTGAAGACTCTATATTCCTTCTAGAATACCAGAAGCCTCCCTCTTCTCCTCCCTTCTTCTCTTTCATCCCCCACCGTCACCCCGAAGAAAGGGATGCATAGAAAAAAATAATAAAGGTGTTGGTTGCCACCTATATATAATAGTTGGACTGAGAGAGACACAGCTGAGCTAAAGGTGAAAGCAGTACCACCACTTATTCAAGACAAGAGCTAGAGATATGAGCTAAGCCTTCTTCCAATTAAATAGGATGCGGAGGTGCAAGAGTATGACTCTATTCATATTCCTGGAGATGAAGACAGCTCAGCATGGCCTTGGGGAACTTTACCAGAGACTAGAAAGAAAACTAATCTCAAAGGGCTCAAGGTCCAGGGGCCTGGCTAATTCCTCTAGGCAGAAGGCAGGGTGGTATTAGTGAACAGAAAGCTGCTTAGCTTAGGTCTTGAAAGAACTTTCTAATTCTTCCACAGCAGAAAAAGCAACCTACTGCAACCCCATCTGGAGAGCTGAATGGGAAGAATTGAGGAGGGGGCACAGACCAAGCTAGCAGCTCTTCCTTGGGTCTTGGGATGGAAGGAAACAAATCCACTGGGCTCATTTGCCTGGCAACCAGGGGAAGCCGATTTCTCTGCTCCTGCAGTTGTCTTGTTTGAAAGACAGGCCCAGGGAGATGGGGAGATGGATGCTTGGAACCCCAACTCCCACCCCCTGCAAGGGAGGCCAATGTCCAGCTGAGTCAGCTGCCTTAGGGAGTCACTTCTGACCCAGGGACAAGGTACAGGGAGAGCTGGGTGGAGGAGTGAGTCTGAGGTATAGACTGACAGAAGCCATCTGGCTTTCTGCTGGGCAGAGGAGAAAAGCAACTTCTTGTGTGGTCACTTCTGTTTCTGGGCATCTGGGGAGCTAGTAAAGTTAAAGCCCTTACACTAGTGGTGGCTGGAAATGGAGAACCCTCTGAGAAGGACCTGATGATGTGAGGGCAAGGATAGATTATAGTACAGGATGGGAAGGGGCCCCATGAGAGGAAGGCCTCACCTAACACCCCACCTCTCAGGCTTATGATCATGCTTCCTGCCCCACTTCCTGGGAGGCCAGATGCCCATGGTGCAATGGGAGGAAGTAGGTTGGGCTGGTTTGTGACTGACCCTGGAGGGGCAGCTCCAGGCTCCTCTATGGAAAGGGTGTGAATTGTCAACCTGCTCTCCACCTGAACACTTTTCCCTCAACACATACACTGCAGATTAGCATGGAAAAGGATGTGTTAGACTGCAGCAGGGAAATCACTGCGGGGTGGGGGTAGGGGTAATTCACTCTTTTTGGGAATCTGCCTGATCACACCAGGGATTTGGGATACAAAATGTTAAGTCGGTGTTGTGGCATGAGGACCAGGCAAATTCCTTCCGCAGGTGCACCTGTCTCTCTTCTATCCCCGCCCCCCCCGCCCTCCCCCGCCCCTCTTCCCAACACAACTGGCACACAGGCTAGGGGGAAGTGCCCTCAGGCACGGGGATTAGCGTTGCTAAGAGAACAGTAACTTGTGCATGGGTTTGGTGCCAGAGTACCTACACCACAAGAATAGCAAATTTGGGACACAGCCAGATTTCTACAACCTCCAGCCTCACCTGCACCCTTTTCTCTGATTCCGTAAAGGAAGAGATGACATAGGGTTCCCCAGTTGATCCCCACCCTCATCCGACCCTCCTGGTACGAGCAGTTCTTCCCCTGGAAGGAAAGGCTGAGTGAGGAGACCACCTAGGTGCTCCTGTTCAACTCACCCCGTCCCTGCAGGCCTGCTCGTTGAGCGCTCGCACCCAAGCCCGCTGCCAGTTCTCCCGGAAAGACTTGAAGGCGAAGAGTGACGCCAGGAGGCCCCGGACTCCTGGCTCCTCCCGGGCGCCAGCCTGAGTAGCCCGCAGCCGCAGCAGCGAACGCCATACGCCCAGCTCCCGCAGGGAGCCCCCAGGCTCGTCAGCTAAGGCGGGTCCTGGGCCCCGGGACCCGCGGGCCCGCACCAGCCACAACCCCCGAGCATACTGAAGCAGCCAGCCGAGCACCGTGAGCAGCGAGGCGGCGAAAAGGATCAGCAGGGCCGCCCAGCCCACGTCCCACTGCTCCCAGCCCAGATCCATGCTCCGCGCGGGCTCCAGTCCCAGCCCCAGTCCCGGCTCCCGCTCAGCCGCTGCCCCGGGGGAGCATGGCCCGGACAGGCCGCGGAGCGGGGGCGGGCTCCCCCGGGGCTGGGCGCGCGGGCTCGGGGGCTCTCCGGGGCTTGGTGCTCTGGACTAGAAGGTGCCACAGATCAATAAGAGGTGGTCTTGGGGGTCGTGATGCCGGAGTCCGTCTCTCCGTAATCCGAGTCGCTCCTCGATTGGTCTGGCAGACCGACCAACGTTAGTCGCCGGCGGGCGCCGGACTCCTCCCACCCACCGCGCGGGCCCGGCGGGACCCAGGCTGGGACTAGTCTGCAGAAACGCGGGGGCTCGACGGCCAGCGCCGCCTCCGGGAGCGATGCGTGCGCAGAGCTGACACTGACAACACGGCCAGCACCCCGCCCCCACCCTCCCTTAAAGGGGCCGCACCCGCGCGGGGCGGGGCTTGGGGAGCCCTGCACTAGAGAGCTTGAGGAGTACTGGAGGACAAGGCGGGAGCGGAGGAGGTTCCGGAGTTGAAAATAGGCGGGATCTTTGACCACCCCGCCCCATTCTAGAATGGGGGTACTTCCTTCTTCCCCGAGCTCACCGCAGGAGTAACCACTCACCTGAGATGCCGCTTTTGCTTTCCCTATGTTCCTTAGATTGTTTTAGTTTGAACACCTGTGGGGCTAAGAAGGTGGTGACCCCTGTGGACAGCGTTGCGTTGCCCCTTTTCCCAACACCCCCAGGCTCAGCAGCTTCTTGGTTCCCATTTCCTGGCCGAAGTTAGGCCCTGGGTAAATAGAGCGCCCTCCTAGATAGAAGTGTCTGGCAGAGGGCCAGCTGATACCGACCAGAGAAAAACAGACCCTGAACCTGGTAGAAGTTGAGAATGGAACACGGAATATTAACCACCACCACCCCACCACCCCCCTGCCCCTTTTATTTACTACCCTCCCTCCTTGCTTTTGGAGCTAGGACACAGGAACAACCTATTAGACTCCTGCTGGTCTAGGTTTGTTCTGGAGATATTTCCCAAGCTGGGGCTGCTTCTGTTTTTAAAAATAATATATTTCCATAGTAACAGCTCCTTTGAAGCACGTGTAGAGTGAGTGGTAATAAGGAGGGAGCTGGCAATGTAGTGCTGGACTATCAATAGATTCAGCCAGAAGACCCTGCCATCCAAATATCTTCTATCCCAACAAGCACCTCCAAACTGATGTTATAGGTACACCTTTTCCTAGATTTAAAAGAATCGATTTTATCTCTATAGGACAAGGACTTGTCATTGCTTTCTGGAGTCAGGGGAAGAACAATTTTACAAAACGATTCAAAGGAATCTTTATTTTCCAAGAGGTCCTTCTTCTCTACATACATATGGCAAGGTTTGGCACATAGTGCCTTCTTTAGAGAGGTAAACAGAAAATATCTCTCTCCTAAATCCACTAGATAGTCTGAGGAATAAGTACCTGGGAGTAAGCAATGCCCCCTAAAGTATGGAGTTTCAGAGCTTGGCAGAACCTGACTAGTAAGCATAAGAGTGCCTGAGCCAGAGGAGGTGGTGAGTGGTGGGGGAGCCTGAGGCATCCTTAGATTTCACTGTAAGGAATGATGTGGGCAGGGGTAGCGGGGATAGGAGAGGAGGTAACCTTGCTGTTGCCCTGCCTATGCATCACTTTTGGTCTCTGCAAACAATGGAAGATTCCTAGAGTGTAAGTCTTTAATCTTGAAGGAAGAAGACATGAAATGAAGGAAAGAGAGAACTCAGTGCCAGAACCCAGGGACAAAGGAGGAAGCTGTCAGTAGGCAGAGCAGCTAGAGAGAGGGGAGCAGGTTCCATGGGAAGTTGTCTGGTGCAAAGTTTCACTATAAAGACTCTCTTCCCCACGAACCCTTCTTTGAAACCCTCTGACCTCCCAGGGGTCTCAGTTCTCTGAGTTCTTGAATTTACTTTCTCAACTCCTCCACTTGGTTCTCTGCTGCCAGATACGGCTGCTTCACATTTCAATCTTCTATGAGTGTCCCCAATTAGTCCTTCTACTCTTCCTTCCACTTGTTGCTTAGACCTGTAGCACTTATTTCATTTGCCTTATAGTCTAGCTGGTTGTTTATATGTCTGCTTTTCCCACTCACCAGGAAGCTGCTTAAGAGTGAGGACCATGTCTTACTCATCTCTCTTCCCTCATATTCATCCAAGGTACTTTAATATGCTGAAGTAGACTCCTTGAGGCAAACAACTGCATTTATATCTCTTTGTGCCCCCACAGTACTTAAGAGTTTTCCATTCACATAGTAGAGATTAGCAAATTCTTTGTAATTTTTAGAAGTCTAACAGAAAATATTCTAATATACATGTAAACACTAAAATTTTTTAAATTGTTTCTTTCTTTTGAAAACTCATTCATGTTATCCCAGTGGAATGGGAGATCTGTGGCTTGGTTTCAGCTAACAGCTTTTGATAAACTGATAGGGGAGAAGTAGGAAGGAAAAAAAAAAAAAGACTAACTCAGCTGTCTGGAAAGAGCCACAGATCTGGTCCTCAAGTGTCATAGCCCCCCAGACTATCCAAAGCTGTCTCATGGACTTTTTAGGCACTGTGAAACACTTTTGGGACAGATTTTGTCAGGCAATCACACTTAATGGTGGATTGGCTTTGCTCACTGGGAAACACTCAGAGCTTCCTAGGAGGAGAAGCACATCTCAGACATTGCTCAGCCCAAGAAATCAGCTGAAGCTATCAACAGCTCACCTGATTTGTGAGTCCTAGGACCAGCTTCAGCTTTCAGGCAAATTCTTTGAACTCTTATCAGGAAAGGCACAAAATTGCAAGGGTGGCCAAGTCATGTGTTTATTTGTTTCTCCTGATCAGTATGATAATCAACTGGGCATTTACCATCTTGAGAACAAAAATATTCAGATCATATGACAAGTATCCAAGTAACTATGTTCTGATGGTAACATGTATACTGAATGATGAATTCCTAGTCTTTGAACAAGTCCCCATACCCTCTTCCAGTAGAGGTTGAAAGGTGCAGGGGGAAAGAGATAATGACCTCTGGAGAAGAAAGACAAAAAAGTTCCCAATGCACCGCTGAGGAGGAAGATTTATTAGGATTGGCCTCCTAATAAGGGAAATAGATAGAGACTGTTCCTCAGACGTCTAGGGAGTCTCAGCCTGCTCCTCCTGATCAACAAGATAACTGAATGCTGCCTCCTCTGGGGATCCCATAAGCTCCTCCTTTCCACCTGCTCCAGGCAGCTCACTTTCTCTGTTTGGAAGGCCTTTCCACTCTTGTCACTTACTGAAATCTTTCTAGATGCTACTCTTCCTCAAGGTCCTGTCACTTGGTCACAACTAATTGCTCTCTCCGTGTGCTCCAATTGCCCTGTACCTCTTTCAGACACAGACTCATTCTGTTTGGTGATGCTTTGTATACAGATATCTGTGTGTCCTTAGTCCCTTGGGGACACCCTTTGGAAGAGAAAACACTTGCCTCTAGGGAGTTTCCAGACTAAAAGGCACTGACACACACATATGTGCAGCACACACAGAAAAACAATACCAGTGGGATAAGTTCTGAAAATTTGGTGAAATACTATCAAGTAAATTATTTCATTGTTAATTAGAGCCACCTTCAAGAGAAGGGACATTTCACACCCGGTTTTGATAGGCAGGTGAGGCTATCTTTGGCCTGAAAAGAGTCAACACTTACTCCTAGAGCATATCATATTCAAAAGAGTGGACAAAATGCCAGGATACTTGAGTTGTCTTCCCAACTCCCCGGTGGTGATTTCGTCTCTGAGGAATAGAAATAATTTGCCACCTAGGAGCCTGTGGGTGAATGAAAGAGAATGAAGATTCCGGTGAACTGTTTTTTTTTTTTGCAAGGAAACAGGCGCTAAGCAAAGGCACGGTAACCTGGAGAAAGAAACCGGCTGGGAGTTCCTCAGCTTCACAGGAAGCCACGTGTGGGTCTGGTTCTCCTGCTTCCTTACTCTTTACAACGCCTCAGCATCACTGACTCCGTTTGGGAGCTTACCACAAAGCTGTGATCCAGGGCCAGAAAAGTCAAGTACCGGGTTAAATCCAAGACCTGAGGGCACTCCCAGCCCCTTCAGTGGTCAAGTGCTCCGCGGGGTTGCCCGGCAACTAAATGCTACTGAGGGGCAGATGGGTGCGTGGGATGATTAAGAAAAAGTACCAGGGTCGAGGACAAGAAAAACATACAGTGGGAGGGTCTTTTTGTCTGCGCTTTATAATTTACATCATCTTTCAAACTGTGGCTGCGTTTCCAGGAACAGTGTTGTATTTATCTTGGCTTCCGACTACATTGGGAACATTTTCTACACGCAGTAGGCGCGTCCCTCCTGCCCTCCCCCTTGCTTCCCTTAGCCGTCTTCCCCGATCCTGAAGCAACTCAGAGTAAACTCAGGGTACTGGCCCTTTAAACGCCAGAGGCCGACAGAGCTAAAACTGACGTGGAACCAAGAGTAAGTGGCGTCAAACCCATGGTAGAAGGAGGCGTTCATCTTGGAACCGGGCAAGGAGTTTTTCCGTTTTGGGCTGTATACGTGTAATATGATGATAGGAAAGTATCTGCTTTTGTCTTTAATTGCTTTCCAACATCCTCGGGATGGCTCAACTCTGGAACGACGGATGTAGTTTAAAATAACACTTTTGTCCGCACGCTTCTGCCCATATTAAAAATGGCCGCCGCCGCCTTCCGCAACGATAGTTGCTTTGCGAACAAGATTCGTGCGGAAACAGTGAGTAGGAAAATGCAGTGGGGCGGAGCAGAGGTTGCTTCATATAGGGTCACCGGAGTTCCGAAGGTGGCTCAAGTTTGAGTTGTTGGGGTTTGCTCTGATTAGTGTGGGGACACCCAGCCTGTGGGGAGCGGCCACTCCTTAGTGCAGAGGCTTCAGGACTTTGTGTCCTGCTTGAGCGTTCGCTCAGGAGGCGGCAGAGCGGGGCCCCCTGGCTTGTCACCATGTGGGCCTTCCCGGAGTTGACGATGCCTCTGCTGGTGAATTTGATGGGCTCGGTGCTGGGATTTGTGGCCACACTTACTCTCATCCCCGCCTTCCGTGGCCACTTCATTGCAGCGCGCCTCTGTGGCCAAGACCTCAACAAATCCGGACGGCAGCAGATGTGAGCGGTGGCACACGGGTCCCGGGCAGGGGACAAGGGCTGAGGCAGGGCTGGGCACGGCAGGGGCTGGACTGGGATGCTTGACTGCGCGCGGACATGCAGCGCCAACCCAGCAGACAGACCCTTGGGAGGTGAAGGGCAGAATTGGGGAAGGGATAGGTGGGGGGAGAGAGAGAACTTTGGCGTGTATTAGGGACTCCAGCAGTGGTGCCCTCCCTCCACCCCAAATAAGATTACTATAATGCCAGGGCTGGGCACGGCAG